ATGTACACTTCAGAAGAATGTATATTCTGCTGTTGTTTGATTGAGTATTTGAAAGATGTCTCTTAGGTCTAGTTGGTTCGTAGTGTTATTCAAGTCTTTTAAAATTGATCTTCCACCTAGTTTTCTATCCAATATGAAAGTACTAGAATAAGTCTCCAACTATCATTGTTGAATTATCTATTTCTCCCAATTCTTGTCAATATCTGTGTCATACATTTTGGTGCTGTTATTAAGTGCATATATGTTTACAATTGTTATAACTTCCTGAGGGACTGGCCCTTATATTATAAAACATCCCTCTTTACCTCTAATATTTTTTGTTTTAAAGTCTATTTTGTCTGAAATCACAACAGCCAGCCTAGTTTTCTTATGGTTCCTGTTTGCATGATATATCTTTTTCTATCCTTTTACTTTCAACATGTTTGTATCTTTCAGACTAAAGTGTGTCTCCTGGAGACAGCATATACTTGGATGCTGATTTTCCTTCAGTCTGACAATCTCTGCTATTTGACTGGATTGTTTAATCAATTCAAATTTGACATTAATATTGATATAGTTGGCTTTACGTCTGCCATTTTACTTTTTATTTGATATGTTTCATGTCTTTGTTCCTCTATTCTTACTGCCCTAGGTATTAGTTTTTTAATGCTTTGTAAATGGCATCATTTTAAAATTTCATTTTCCTGTCTATTATATAGAAATATAATCAGTGCTTTTTTATGGAGCACATCTCCAACTAGGAATTTATTAAATTCACTTAAATCTAATAAATTATAGATTCTTTTGAGCTTTCCATGTAGATAATGTCGTAATTTTTTCCTTGCTAATCTTTATTTCATTTCTTTTTCTTGTCTTATTGCATTAGCTAGAACCTCCAGTATGATACGAATAGGTATGCTGTTAGTGGGTATCCTTCTCTCATTACCAATCTTGGATTTGGTGTAAGGTTTCACTATTTCACCACTAAATATGATTTTTGCTATACTTTTTTGTAGATACCCTGTACTGGATTAATGAATTACCATTCTATTGCTAGCTAAAGATTTTATCATGAATGTGTTTTCAATTTTTTCAAATGCCTTTTCATATCTATTTAGATGATCATATAATCTCACTTTTTCCAATTAATTTGTATCATATTGGTTCATCTTTGGGAATATTAAATCTAGCTCATTCCTAGAATAAACCTCACTTAGTGATAACATGCCTTTCTTTTTCATGGTTCTGGATTCAATTTGCCAATATTTTGTTCAAGACTTTTGTATCAATATTATGAGAGAGACGAGTCTGTAATTTTCCTTTAACAGGTTTTGAGATCAAGGTTATGCTGGCCTCATAAAACCAGAAAGTCTTTTTCTTCTCTCTGAAGAGTTTGTGTTTGCAAATGGTATCACTTCTTCATTAAATGTTAGAAATAATTCACCACAATGCCATCTGAGCTTGGAGTTAACTTAGTGATAAAGGTTTTCCCCATAATTAATGAATTTTTAAAAAGATATAGGACCATTCATATTTTCCATATCTTTTTCTGTTAATTTTAGCTGTTTCTCCATTTCAATACAATTTTAAATTTAAAAGGTTCTTTAAAATTGTATTTGTAATATCTACAAGATATGTGCTGTCTCTATTTATTCTTGATATTACTGACATGTTTTTCTCTTTTGTCTTGATCATTCTTACTAGAAATTTATCCATTTAATCAATCCTTTCAAAGCACTGACTTGGCTTTGCTGACTTGCTATTGTATGTAGTGGTCCATTGCACCATTTTTTGTTATATTATAATTCCATTTTCTTTAGGCTTGATTTGTTGTTCTTGTTCCAGCTTGAGATGAAAACTCAGATGATAATTTTCAGTCTGTTTTTTCCCTAACTTGTATTTAAAGTTATAAATTTTCCTCTAAGTTCTCCTTTAGTTGAGTTCCACAAATTTTGATAAACGCTATCTTGATTATCATTTGGTTCAAAATATTTTTAAATTTCCATTGTAATTCCTTCCATGATCTATAGATTATTTACAAATATATTGATTGATTTCCAGGCAATTGCAGATCTAGTTATATTTCTGTTGCTGAATGTTAGTTTAAAACCAGTGTGATCAGAATATCCTCTAAACGATTTCAATACTGTAATATTTGTTGAGGCCAGCTTCATGGTCAATTTTGCCAAAAGCTCCATGTGTACTTGAGCAGAACATGTATTCGAACACTGTTGGGTGCAGTGTTATTATATGTCAGTACTAGCTAGTTCAAATTTCTTAGTCGTGCTGTTCACAATCTTCCAGCTATTAAAACAGGAGTGTTAAGAGTGTATGATTACTATGATTGTAGATTTGTCTACTTCTTTTAATTGTTTTTTCCTCTTACATAGTTTGAAGCTATGAGTACATACTGATTGAGTTTCTCTATTTCTGAGAGTGGACTGGTTTTCCTCCTTACAAAACATCTCTATTTCTAGCAATGCTTCTTGCTGAGACAGTATCTTAATACATTATAAACACTCATGGGCAATTCTTGTTATATATTTTTAAAATCCACTGAAGCAAATCTTTTTTTTACCTCTACTTTTTCTAAAAAGTAAAAACAAAAAAAAAAAGAATCTACGCTAAGTTATTTAACTTGTTCGAGGAAACGCAGTTCAGAGCCAGTATTTAAACCCAAGATCTTAAGACTCAAAGAAATCTCACATTACAAGTACAAATTGGATAAGGTATTATGAAGAGATAGGATAACCTTAAGGGGTATATAGTGGTCAATAAAATGAAAAAATGTGACCAACTTGTGCCAGGTGACAATCTCATAATGAGCATGAACTAATCCTACTACTCAAGTTGTAGTCCATGGACCAGCAGCATCAGCATCTTCTAAGTGCTGGCAGAATTTTGCCTTTACTTTAAAAAACTATCAATGTAATAGCATAAAACAAAGCAGTATAAAATGCTCATAATAAAGTAGCTGCTTGTCAGCACTCCTTAATGCCAAGTGGCAATCAGTTTTAACTAATTAAAATAACTTTTTTTTAAATCTCAGTACTTTAAAACAATATGTTCTCACTACTCTCTCTTGAGTTACAAATTTTAGCCATTATCTATCAAGTTCTTATACTCACAGATGAGGATTTAGCTCTTTTCTATATCCTATATGCCTTTTCATCACATTTGTAGTTAAATCAATACTTAAGTTGTTACAGGCAAATACTCTCTATATAATGAGATACAGAGTATCTGGTTATATTTTTTCTTGACGCTATCAAATTTTATCTTCTAATTTCCTATAAACCTATCCTTCATTCTTTTTCAAATTCATCAGAACTGTCACATATCAACATTTTCCCTTATTCTCCACTCCTTCAAGGTCACGTTTAAAGATCACCTCTTCAAGAAAGCCTTCCCCCAAGAGAACTACTTCCTTATCTGAATTTCCCATTAGAAATATATTATTTTTAGTCATGAGCTTTGAGGGCAGAGATATGTCTTATTCACTTTTATATCCTCAGCAAGATGCCTTTCATATAGAAGTTTTATTAAATGCTGCTTAGGGCCGGCTCCGTGGCTTGGCGGTTAAGTGCGCGCGCTCTGATGCTGGCGGCCCGGGTTCGGATCCCGGGCGCGCCCCAGGGCACCACTTCTCCGTCCAGCGCGAGGCCGAGTCCCACGTACAGCAACTAGAAGGATGTGAACCTATGACATACAACTATCTGCTGGGGCTTTGGGGGGAAAAAAATGAATAAATAAAATCTTTAAAAAAAAAAAAAAATGCTGCTTATATGGATAACCAATTTATAAAAATGAACCCCTGGAAAACCACTCAGGGTTATTCTTTCCTTATACCAGAACAGGCCTCGGCAACTTTTGCCACAGCTATCCCATAAGCTATTTCACATCAGCAGCGCTATACACAGTAGAGCCTCAGAGGTATACAAATGGCACCACATTGAGCAGATACATATAGTGACTCTACATAATTAATGGTTAAATTTAGTAAGATCTGTTTATAAACATCCCTTACATCCCTAGAAATTTAATCAGGAGTTTAAAAATTCAAATTATATCCTATCATCTCCCCTACCCAGAAAGACATGGTTATTTCTCTCTAGATATTGCCTGACTACAGTCTTTCTGTCCTACTTAGATTCGTAAAGCTAAAAGACGATAAGAAGTTACCTGAGTCTATGGTAATGCATTTTAAAGGTATCAGTCAAGGTTTAACTAAGCCTCAGAGAACAGAATACAGTCATGCGTCACTTAACAATGAAGATACCTTCTGAGAAATGCATCGTTAAGCAATTTTGTTGTTTGTGCAAACATTACAGAGTGAACTTACACAAACCTAGATAGTATAGCCTACTACACACCTAGGCTATAGGTACTAATCTTATGGGACCACTATCCTATATGTGGTCTGTCGTTGACTGAAACGTCGTTATGCGGTGCATGACTGTAAGTATCTAAATAATGCAAGAATATGAGATGGAATATGATAGAATATGGTTCTTTGTATTTTATATTTAATATAATCTCATTCAACTTAATGAGAACTAATACTCTTGTGTATTTAAAGTTATAGTTTATTTTTAACAACTATCCAATATGTTATTTAAAATTTGATTACATCAAATGAATACATCTTGTACATGCCCACTACAAGAGAACCACATGATGTGCAGTGACAAAGATGCAGGGAACATGCCGTATTTTCATACCAGAATTCAAGATACTAAGTAGCAACGAAATACAGCGGAATTGAAGGCTGAGGGGAAGTACAAAAGTCAATAAGATAAGCAGAGCAGAAAATTCAAGATGTACCTAGATATACCAGTTCTTAAAAGATGCAAATCATTTCCAATAAAACACTGTTCATGCATTTCTGTTGAGGCAGAAGTCAATCTTAGGATGTGGTCTGTGCAAATCTGCAGATAAGACTGAGAGTTAAGTAGATTAATTTGATTAGGGTCAGACAACATTTCTAAAAGCGAATTGAAAGATAAACAAAGGCGGCATACTTCACAAAAGCTGAATTCAATGTAATTAGTCCTTCACACAGATGCTTCATTTTTGTATTTTCAATAGCTTTCCTGTGACATAAATTATCTTTATCTTGAATGTTCTTCCCCATTTGTTTGGCAAATAGTTATGTCGCGGAGCATTTACTGGCTACAAGTAAATATATGACAAAATCAAAAACGAAAAGAGTATTAAATCCCAAACTAGAATACGTCTGTTTAAACTGATATGACATAATTCTTCTAATGTTTCATTTCTAAGGAATTAGTCACACAATCATCTTGCCCATATACACTTGGAACCCCGTATCTGCTGGGTGGATTCAACCCACCTCGAATCGGAAGGCCCACCAAGGTTGCGCCTGTAGAGAAAATGTACATACCACTGTTTCTTGTCGTCATTCGCTAAACACTACAATATAGCAACTCTTTACGTAGCATACACATTGTATTACATGTCATCAGAAATCAAGAGCTGACCAAGTATGCGGGAGAACACGCAGAGGTCATAAGCGCATACCACGCCGTGTTATACGAGGGACTTGAACACGCGCGGATTTTGGTATCTGCCGGGGTCCTGGCACCAACCCCCTGAGGACAACCAGGGACGACTACATAAGTCTTCAGAGCAGTAAAGCTAGCTTATCATGAGCGAGCCACACGTGCTGGCTGATAACGCTAGCAACTCCATCTTCAACACAGTCACAGGGAGAGGCGGAAGTCAACTTTTCAAGTACAGCACGGCTTTAGTCAGAGACGAAGCAAAAATAATTACCTCTTCTGTACTGGCGGCGTTCTTGAATTCGCCAAAATCGGAGAAAGAGGAACGGGGAGGGGCGATGGGAAGGAAATTTTTTTCTTTCTTTCTTTTTTAAACTTACTCTTAAAATGGAACTTCTACGTTCAAGGACTCGCTCTCTGCACACGGCTGTCACGTTAACTTACAGCATCCCTGTACCGGTAAGCTCAACAAGTGTGCATTACACGTCTGCGCTCCAGGTCCCTTCATTAAAAACTGTAAAATTGACGTATTACTCCACTTCATATTACCCCCGATGCTCTAGACCATAGATATCAAGGAAAGCCTCCCCGCCGCCTGGCGAAACGCGCTTAACTGTTGTGGCACCTGGTTTCTTCAGAGATAATGACTAAAACCACTCAAGGAAAAGTGGCAACGGAATCCCCAAGTCGGGGCTGCGGACTCCGTTTCACCCGTTACCTTGTAAACGTCGTCGGGCCGGCCCGAAGCATCTCCTCCCCCGGCCCACACAAACCCTGAGGCGACGTCCCTGCGCAGCCCGCCTCGCCCGCGGCCCGCCAGCGAAGAGGGGGAGACGCGCCTCTCGCCCTCAGCGGCGTCTTCCCGGCCGGCTCGGAGCGCTAACGACTCGGCGGCCGCCTTTCAGTCAGCCCCGCCGCAGCCGCCCTGCTCGCGCGGCGCTCCGAGGCTTCCGCGACTGGCCCTCAGAGCGGCGCGCGGCGCCCGCCCAACCGCCGACCCGGCCAACCGCCGCTCGCGTGGGGCTCCCACCCGGCCCAACGTACCTACAGCGGCTCGGCGCGCGCCGGGCCCCGGCCACTCTCGGCACTTCCTCCTCAGACCGCGGCCGCTGCGCACACTAACGTTCCCGGGAGGACCCGCGGGGGTAAGTCGCCCTGCGTCCACCCCCGACGGATTCCGGGCCAATGGCAGCACGAACGTGCGGCAGCCCAGCCAATCAGAGACGAGCGGGTGAAGTGGGCGGGGAGAAGGGCGGCAAGGAAATGGAAGTTAACTGAGGGACACCGAGAGTTCGCCTCCCTGGGCGCTTCTTCCCGTCAGCCTCTTGGGCTTTCCCGCCAGGTCGCGCCACCAAGAGCCTGAGCTAGGCTTTTCTTTTGAGGGACTCGTGTAAAGATTTGGAAAATTTTCGAAAATCATCATTAATAAAATTTTATTGGGCCGGCCAGTGGCTTAGTGGTTAAGTGCGCACCCTCTGCTACTGGCAGCCTGCGTTGTGATCGCCGGCCTGCACGGAGGCACCGCTTCTTCAGCCATGCTGAGGCGGCGTCCCACATACAGCAACTAGGATGTGCAACTATGACATACAACTATCTAGTGGGGCTTTGGGGAAAAAAAGGAGGAGGATTGGCAATAGATGTTAGCTCAGAGCTGGTCTTCCTCAGCAAAAAGAGGAGGATTAGCATGGATGTTAGCTCAGGGCTGATCCTCCTCACACACACACAAAATTATTTACAAAAACAGGTGGTCCCCATTTGAATTTTTAAAATATTTCCTGAAAATATCATTTATCTTGATTAAAGAGTATTTTTGACAGCTCCTCAAATTTTGCTCCACAGGCAAGTGGTCCTGGCCCAGTTGTGTTTTCTTGAGTTTCCTAAATCGTCCCAGTTACTTGCCACCCTAGGCTGGGTCAGATTTTATGAGACCTACCCTGGTGCCAGATAGTCGCCCTCTTGGTGATTATCGTGCATTCACTCAATAGTTTTTGAGTGCCTCCTCTGTACTAGGCACAGGAAATATAACCGTCAACTAGTTCATCGAACCCCTCCTCATCACGGAGGGTAGAGCTGCCTGCTTTGTGTTGGTAACTACTGGCTACGAGAAAACTGAGACAAAGAGTACAATCCAGAAGTCTAGGTCATTAACAGAATAACATACTCTAACCTAGTAGGTACCCAAAATATGGTCCAAGGATCCCTGGAGTCTGGGAGGTCAGTACTATTTTCATAATAATAGGAAGATGTTGTTTGACTTTTTCATTCTCATAGTTTCAGGAGTGTTCAATGGAATTTTCCAGAAGCTTCTGGAAAATTGACATGTGATATTGCAACAGATTGAATGCAAAAACAGATATGAGTATACAGCTGTCTTAAGTCAAACACTAAGGAAATTAGTAAAAATGTAAAATAATGACAATCTTTACACACATTTTTTGTTTTGTTTTGGAAAATAATTTTGATTATAATTGATCGGTATATAAGGGTTGCTGAGAGAGAGATGGTGTGGGAGGCAAGTAAATTGGAGCCAGATAAGGGATTTGGGCTTAATTCAGTCAACGAGTAAGTAGCTTTTAGAAATGTCATGTCTATTTAGGGTAACAGGATATCTTGTGTGTAATTTTAATATTAACAATAATAATGATATTTACTGGGCATTGTGTTAACCACTTTCATTGCATGCAATATTTTCTATTTATTTCCACATTTGAAGTTGGACAATCTGTATTGGGAGCCATGTTAGGCCCCTTATTAGCCATGTGGTCTTGGGCAAGTTAGGTCACCTCTCAGAGCCACAATGATCTTATATCTAAAATCGTAATAACAACAATATATGATTTATTGAGTTTTTAATTGTCTCAGGCACTGCACTAAGCATTTATCCATATTATATAAATTAATTCTCTTAACATACTACATGAATTACTACGAAGTCTCTCCATTTTCTATTTGATTTTTTTAAAGGAAATAGAAGAGATACCAGAGATACAATTCCCTGTATATTTCCAGCCTTATAGTAAACACTTGGTATATGGTAACTATTATTAAAATTGATAAAGCTGAGTAACATGAACGATCTTGAGCAAATCTCTTAGCCTTTTGTGTTGGAATGTTTTTTGTTTCTTGTTTTCTTCCAATGAGGATTGTGGTAGGCAGAATTTTGACCCCCCCCATGATCTTTGTCCCCTGGTATGCCTCTCATGGTTATGTTATGTTACGTGGCAAAAACAGCTTTGCAAGTGTAGTTCAGGTTTCCAAGCAGCTGACCTTAAGATAGAGAGATTAGCCTGGATTTTCCAGGTGATCGCAGTGTAATCACATGCATTCCTTAAGGCAAAATAGCAGGTCAGAGAGATACAGCAGAAAGGAAATTCATAGAGATTTGAAGCATGAGAAGGACTCAACCCATGGGTGCCGGCTTGAAGCTGGAAGGGACCACGTGGGAAACAAACTAAAGAAATGAATTCTGCCCACAACCTGAACAAACCTGCAAGCAAATTCTTCCTCAGAGCCTTGGCTGGCTGACATCTTGATTCCAGCCTTCTGAGACCCTAAACAGAATTCACAGCTGAGTCCACTGGGCTTCTGACTTATAGAAGATAAGATAATAAGAGATAGTAAGTAGGTGTTGATAGTAAGTAGTGTGAGATAGTAAGTAGGTGTTGTTTTAAGCCACTAAGTTTGTGGACTTGGTTATGGCAAGAATAGAAAACTAATACTAGCATTCATTCTCATGCTCTTCTCAGCTATCCCTAAGGCAGGATGGAATCCTGGGGACCAAATTTCCCGGGTGCCTTTATGGCCAGTGTTCTGAATTCATTTACATTTTGCCAAGTGGGCTGCACATTCTGAGATCTGAAAAGTGGAAGAAAGACATAAATTATTGTTCTGTGTTTTTTGCTTGGGCTTTGGCATTCTTCCCTGTCAGTCCCTGCCTCAGGATATAAGGCTGCTGTGACAATCCACAATGCTTCTCTGAACTTTTCTGGCCTCTGAGTGGTGACATTGTCATCATCATCATCGTCATCGTCACCATCATCATCATCTTCCCTATTCTCTGGACCACAGAAGCAGTGGCACAAAAGAAAACCAACGTGACAGTAGCTCCTCCAACCCTGCCAAAGGCTTTTAAGCACTTAATTCTCTGTACTAAATACCATTATGCTTGAAATATCTGGAGTGGTTTCTATTTTTCATGACTGCATCCTAACTGATAGACTTCTCCATGCCTCAGTTTCCTCATCTGTAAAGTGAAATTACCAATGATGCATGACACAGAGTAAAAAGTAACCTCTTAGAATTATTGCATGGATTAAGTTACAGGGATTAAATCCATGTACAGTGCTTAATAGAGTATTTAACACACAGCAGGTGCTCAATAAATGTTTGTTACTATTTTTTCTAAAGGGCTATATTCATGTGATTAACAAATTGGCGCTACCAAATGCCAGTTCATTCTACATTTTTCTTAACCTATCATCGACATTCCTACCTTGAAAACACATACACATTGTTACTACTATTGGGGAGTTTTAGCAGCCACAAAATACTTTATAACGTAAGAAGTCATGATTATATACAGTTCTCAGCACTGTCAACTGTGAAAAACAACTCTGGGGTTAGGCAGTTTATTTTATACTAGTCTTTATTGGATCTTTTTCAAAAGCCATATGAGAAATCTGGAAATACAGCAATTGCAGAGAGCAAAAATACTTTCATGGTAACTTTCTGGAAAATCA